GGTACACAAGGATGATCAAAAGCTAACAGCCACCGCTGAAAAGGAATACAAGAAATAGGATGTTTCTGTTTTCCTCTTTTTGTGTTCTTTCTTTTCACCAATTAGTGCTTCATGAGGAGACCATCTTGAGACAATCCAGCTTTGTTAAGGAATCTTAAAATCATAGAATGGCTTGGGTTGGAAAGGACCTTTTAGAGGTCATCTAGTCCAACGCCCCTGTAAAGAACAGGGACTTTGTCAACTAGATCAGGTTGCTCAGAGCCCTGTCCGACCTGACCTTGTATCTTCTCTGACTGCTTTTGGCAGTTCAAGTGAACTTAAATCAAGCAATTACCCGTCTCCAAAAAGACTTGTTCCCTCCTTGAAAGCAGACCTAGAAAGCACATCGTGCCCTGTAGAGGCTTTTGTTCCTTTCGGACACCCTGCTCTAGCCTTTGCTGTTGGATCAGTGTGAGAATCCTGGTCTGCTGTGCCAGTTCTGCTGTGCCTGCTTGTCACCGTCTGTTTAAGTTGAAGCACCGGGTTACAGACTGCACAGTTAGTTCAACACTCTTACTTGAGTTCCTTTACACCTCTTGGGTAAATACCATCTGATTCTCCTGGTTTGCAACTGCCTCATCCGTGTTTTCCAAACCGTCTGTTGTCAGTTCTGTCCCTTAACCTTTCTCTGACACCCGTTGGGAGTCGAAGGCGGTTTTTCCTCCGATTGCAGCGCTCAGACCTGAAGCAGAGCCGTGAGCTGAGACCTCATGAGTGCTGAGGGGAGCAGCAGTATTACCTGATGTCTTACAGATGGTGTTCCTCGTCATACATCCTATTATCCATGTTTTTTTCACAGCAGCGTGGTAGTGCTGCCTCATCCTCAGCATGTAATCTAGTATTTCTCCTCTTCCCACCCCATCCTTTCTGCTCCCTCGTATCGTTCTAAGACACGTTTGGTAACTGATTTGTTGGAGGCCCCTTTGGTTTGTTGGAACTGGTTTACTGGTGGCAAAAGGTGAGGAATTGATGAGTTTGAAGGCAGTTGGCTTGTCATTTCAATGCGTGGAATCACATATTGATGTGACCAGCACAATATACCCACTCTGGATTCAAAGAAGCCCCAAACCAGAGAAGAGCGGGTTGCAGTAGCTGATATTTTTTTTCCTTAACTGGTTGTTGTTTATCAGATTTCTTGTGGTTGTTTTTGGTGTTTTTTTTGATATTTATTTTTCCCTTTTCCTTATTGCTTGCTTGCTTGTTTGTTCTATTTTTTCAAAAATGGGGCCTATTTTCAATCTGGATACTTCCATATGGGTAGTTGTCCCATTAAAACCAGACCCAGCCTCTCCAGTCCTTTGACCAGAGTTCAACAGTGCAGTGAAAACATTCCTGCCACGGTGCAAATGAGGGTGCAGGGGCTCAGAGAAGATAGTGGCCAAGCGTGGTGGTGTCCTCAGAGGTCTCCTGCCAGGAGCAGAGATGTTGTGGGACTGCGTGAGGGGAATACCGAGGCTGTAGAGGAGAAATTGCAGGCAGAGGAGTGGTGAACCATCTGTGCCCGGTAGCCACAGCGTGCAGAGGGATGGTGGCCTTGTGTGCGGGAGGACAGATGGCACGCTGCTCCCCAGCTCCCACCGCAACCTTCAGGGCTCGCCTCCAGCGTTCGCTGCGTGCCTTTGGCTTTACGAGGCCGGACGAGGAAGGGCTGCAATGACACAGGGCGGCATGAGTGGAGCTTGGCTGTGTGAGTGGATACTTTGGTGCTGGAGGCATCAGGATTTGGGGCTGGTCGACCCAAGTGGACAAGTAGAAGTGTTGCCAGTGGGGGCA